GCAAAAAAATCATTATTTTCCAACAATCCCCCACATGAATAAAATTGGTCGAATAAAGAAAATCGAACAACGCTTAACAACAAAGACTCGTAGAGAGAGCACAGAGAATAACCCTGCATTAGAAAAGGTAGCTGTTGGCCTTGAACCTTTCATAGTGAAAGCCTATTGAATTTATTAGCTGACCAATGAACGTGATGTCTTGAACTGTTATACCGTTTGTGTAAATCGAGACAATAGACCTCACACAAGAGTTACTCCAACCATTGTTCGTGTTCTCACTGGTATGTCCGGTTTGGCCCTAGAACACTAGCCTGGTTAGGAGAATGTTTTTAAAGAATTCGACCTTGTCAATTCTTAAAGAAGCGGCCCCACTTCACATTCACATATGTGACCTACATAAGGTATCTTGCTATATTACAATTGACTATTCACAGCACTTAGGTCATTAAAAGCATCAGCTTAACCTTCCACCCCACATGGTATTACTTTATAAATGAATGGTAGGAGGATTACCTCCATAGTGACTCACCCATTACACGCAATTAGGTTGTCCCTTTGAACCTAGATCTTGGGATCTCCAGTGAACTAGGTTGGATTTTCCGTTCTGGTAACATTCGCTAAAGGCCTAACCCTCATTCCTTTTGACGACTTTCTTATTAACTCTCGATTTAACCATTTGGTTAACGGATCCATAATATCGTTCTTAGATTGTATATAGTCTATAGTGACAACACACAAGAGTAGTTGTCGTATGGAACTATGTCTTCAACGAAAATGTCTAGACCTTCCATCTGTGCCCTACTAATACTTGATTGATTGTCACAAAGTATACAAAATTGCTAGCACAAGTTTTGATCAACATGGAATATCCTCAAACAAACAGAAAAGCCATTCAGTTACTTTAGTATCTTTATCTAAAGCACTAAATTTCGATTCCATCATTGATCTCGTGATACACATTTGCTTGGAAGATCCTCAAGAGACAGTTGTAGCTCCAATTTAGAGAAACCATATCCACTAATGGATTTGTAGTCTTTGTATCAGATATCTAGTAGGCGCCTTTGTACCCTTCGGGTATGTTTGATTGGAAGGATTAAAGTATGAGATTGGGATTATTAATCCGTGGGCCCAATCATCCTATATTTGTTTTGACATTTTGGTTTAGGATTATTAATCCAATGCATAGTTAATCCAACAAATTTATAGGATTATTAGTAATGGGGTAGGGGTGGGATAGTTAAAACCACACTAATTTGATAGGATTATTAATACCTCACTATTAGTGTTGTGAATCAAACATGGCCTTCTAGTACAACTAAATACCAAGTGTTATGCAACCTATAATCTCGGATGTAGTATAAATAATCCAACACCTGCATAATACTCTTCCAACGAGTAGCATTAGGAGTGTATCTACTAAGCCTGCTACCTGAGTAGGCTATACCTGGCCTTGTACAACTCATCAAATACTTTAAACTTCCAATGACCCAAGAATATACTAGTTGAAATACACTTTCACTATTATTCTCGGCCAAATGTAGACATAAGTCTACCAGTATCCTCGACACATTTGTATCTGATTTACTTAATTTCTCAAGTATTTTATCAACATAATGAAACTGAAAAAGTACAACTCTACCAGATGTTCTGGTAATCACATCTATAAGGCCCATATTGTTTATGTCAACCTTAGAATTTAACAATTTCTTGGTAATTCTGAATATCTTCTCATAATTACCAATCGTACAGACACAAATTGACATATTTATTTGTCAGTGTCTATGACATACACATATTTGTCAATCCCTGATTATTTAAAACCCTCTTGACAACATTGTGGTGTCAAATTTTTCATGCCATTATTTCGGTGTTTATTTCAAATTATAAAATGATTCTCAAGATTACAGACTTTTCTCATCCTCAAAATAAAAAACCCTTTAGGTTGTTCCATTATCTAAATCTTCATTTAGAAAAGCTGTCTTTAACACCCATTTGATGTACCTCCAGATTTCGCACAACTGCGATTACACTTACCATAACTGATAATCACGTACCAAAATAATCCAAGCCTCATTTGATAACAAGATTATCTTATCGCCTTTGATTCACTTGCATCCCAACGCTTACTACCTTAACAAGACCAAGTTTATTTAATAACTTCTCACTACAACAAAATTGAATTTTTACGGCTCTTTCATGACATGCACACAAATGCCGTTATATAGCATATCGTGAAAAGGTAATTGTCATTTACAACATACATGAAAAGGTGTAAAAAAAAACATTTATGGCATACTTTGTATACCGTATATAATCTTTTACGATATTTTTTAACATGTCATAAATCATCATACTTTTCACAACATAATTTTGCATGCCATAAAATATTATTTTTAATATATTTATGGCATATTTTGTATGCTATATATAATCTTTTACGATATTTTTTTGTATGTCATAAATCATTATAGTTTTCACGACATAATTTTACATGTCGTAAAAAGTTGTTTATAATATATTTATTACATACTTTGTATGTCGTATACAATCTTTTACGATATTTTTTTACTTACCATAAATCACTACACTTTTCATGGCATAATTTTGTATGCCGTAGAAGGTTATTTTTAATATATATATATATATATATATAAATTAATTATCTTGTTTCTATATCTCCTAGTATATTTTACTTGTTTTATTCAATTCCTTGCATCACTACAAAATCATTTTTTACTCTATACACAACATTAAACAATATTACAAAACTATATATATATATATATATTAATTCAACCAAATCACATCAAAATTCCAAATTTACATAAACGTCAACCAAATTCATATTCACTACTAATGTAAAACAAATAAATAAACTCACACTAGCATCATTTTAACATTCAAATACAAAAAACTTAACAAAAATGTATAAACCACACCAACAACTTCTAAAAATCAAAGAAGATTGCTGAGATGGAGATCAAGAAAAAAAAAATAGATTCACATAATTGAAGAAAAAAAGAAAAGAAAAGAAAAATGAAACGCTTCCAAGCACAATGATTTTAAGATGGGAGTCAAATCTTCCTTTAGTGTCACCATAGTATGGCCCAATCATGATCTCAAATCTATAACTTTCATCTGGGGAATCATTTATAGTGACCATGGAAAGGTTTGGAAACTCGCTGTCCAAGTCAAGTGATTATTACTCTGGCTGGAGTTCAAATTAATCACTAGCAACAACAACAAACACTAGCATTTTCATCTTGTTAAGAGAAACATCAATTAACACATACACTAGCAACAACAACAAACAAAAACATTTTCGTCTTATTAAGAGACAAACATCAATCAGCACATACACTAGCATTTTTTTTTTTTTCTTTTTCTCTCTTTGAATTTAATATTTGACAATACTTACTTCCTAGAAATATTTTCTTTCTGGCCTTCATGATGAAAGTGATCTGTACAGCAACTCAAAAAGCAATAAAACTTGTAAAAGACTTCTCATAGCCACATACCAATTGTAGGAACAGTTGACAGCAGTTCTCCAATGTGCAATTTATACAGAATGGTTGTTTTACCAGCAGCATCCAGGCCACGCATCACAACCTACAACAACTAATTATGAATCACAATCATACAAACCAATGCACATATCAATAAATAGCATGAAAACCATCACACCAATCTCAAATCAAAATTTGAACGGTTTAACATTTTGGAGGAAAAGCCAAAAAGTCATTTGCCTACTAAATGTTAGACATATGCACTATATGAAAAGCTACAGTTCCACAACATAGAAGAAGAATGCAAATATATTTTCCCTAAATACATATAAACATCTCAAAAGGAAACACTGAACAAAATTCTAGAAGTGATAAGACACAAGTCACATGAGAAAAAACAAAGATATGGCAAACAAGGCAAAAAAGAGGGGGAAACAATTCATTTGTGCTGCTTTTTATCCCGCACCTTCTTTATGTATCTAGGTCTTTAGTACCACCACAAACAAGGCAAAAAGAGGGGGAAACAATTCATACTTAATTTGAGGACTAAAATATGCTTTAAGTAACATATAAAAAGAACAACTGAGGATTGTTGTGGGAAGTTTATAGTATTACCACATCCAAGAATGATTAGCATTGCCTTGGTAATAAGCTTGACAACTTCAAACCAAAATTGGTAATTGGGAGGAAATGTGAGATTCTCCTGAGCTGTCAATTAAACATTATAAACTTAAATTTTAAATTTTGTGTTAATTGAGTTCAATTGATAAAACCATTAAGGTATTTGACAGAAAATTATCATTGAGTTTAACTTATTAAGTTGAGTAAGTTTATAATTTTGTCTTAAAGTATGACACAATGTCGCTATAAATTGCGTATTTTTCATAAGAAAATACTAATTGTGGTAATTAATTTGACAAAATTAAAATAAAATCATAAATTCATGATCAAAATTGAACTAATAAGAATTACACGAACTAAAATAATACAAGAACTAAAGTATAAGGACTATTAGTATAATTTGTCGAAATTTTTATATATAAATTTTATTCGTATAATATATCTCACTCAAATTACCAACATGTTTATGAAAACAAAATGTAAGGTCTGACTAATGAGTTGCTTACCTTGACGTTCCATATCTTTTTGTTTTGGTTTATCCTTGCCTCGCCCAATTGAAAAAAGAAAATGGTTGGTATTAGCACTCATAACATGGTGGAAAAAAGAAATTATACAATAATAAAACATTGCAATAGAGAAAATTTTACACCAAATAATACAAAAAACAAATTACAAATTGAAGCATAAATGTGAAATAAAGAGGCGGAAAGAGATGTGAATGTGATCCACACATGGCCTACATGTCATTACAAAAAATTAAAGTATTAGAGACCAAAATTTGGGGACAAAATTATTTTTGTTGCGAAAAGTGTCGTGATTATATTTTTCTATATTTTTAGTAACGAAAATTGGACATTAATGATAAATTATTATCCTTTTAGGGCCAAATTTTTTGTATAAAAAATAAACCATTTTGGACCAAATTATTATCCCTAAAAGTCTATTTATTAGTGGCATTTTCAAAATTTTGTCGTTAAAAGCCTTGTTTTTTGACTTTTCGGAACGACCTTTTAACAACTATCCTCACGACAATATAAATTGATCCCTAAATGTCTTTTACAACAAAATTTTCACATTTAGAGACCAAAAAATTTGGTCTATAAAATTCTTATATATTGTAGTGTGTGTCGACTCCATTTCTATCTCTCTCATCATTGATTGGTTTTGTGAAACTTATCCATACAACAATATTATAATCCCAAATTAAAAATATCAAAAAAAAGTGTCCAAAATGTAATATTAATGGTCTAGATCACTTAAGGTAGGATTCCACAATAGCAGCTTTAAATCTACACCATTGATATAAGGATCTGGTTAATTTTTTGGTATACTTTCTAAGACGCTAGGCTTTTCCTTAGTATTCCTAGCACAACTAAGAAATCACACATACTACTCAAAAGGTACACAGAAGGCATCCCTGAACAGTACAAAGATGTTGATGCAAGTTTGATAGTTCTCCGAAAGCTTGGGTTTCTTTTCCTTTTCCTCTTCCTCTCTCACCTTGTCAAGCTTAAGCTCATCAACAAATGTACCTGTATATAGCAAATATGCCAATGATAGATAAATATGCCTATAACAATTACAATAGCTTTATGCATTAAAAAAATAAAACTATGTATATGGAGATTTGGTATGTGTGAGAGAGAGAGAGAGTACTTACAGTAGTAAATGATTTTGTCGAACCCTGCAAGGCGGCATCCACTTTTGAAGGCGGAGGGCTTGGTGGCCATAACATGGAGTGGAGACAATCCTTTTTTGGTACATAGTTAACAAGGTCTCCATATTGACAAATTATTTGAAATGCCAAATCTATCACAACAACACATCTATCAACAAGAGAAAATAATAATATTTCTTATGAACAAAAAAAGAAATGTAAGTATATGATAAAAAATAATATACTAATCATTTCACTAATTAAATCAAGGGGGAAGAGCACATCAGTGGATATTTTAAAGAAAAATTTCAAATTAATCATAAACTTTATAGATTTTAATTTTTAATAACATAAACTTTTTCATATGTGTTAGTAATTAACTTTTGAAAATACAAATGATTTGTATTTTTCCCTTAAATCAACAAGCTATATATATAGGTCTCACCAAAGAATTCTCCATTGATAGCAGAATGAAGAACAGTCTCGCCATTGTTACTTCGATAGTAGTGATAGCGGTCGTCCTGGCTACAAAGATCATCAAGACAGAGGAAAGCATGTTTCTTACCATTGAGAGCAGCCAAGAACAAAGGGGTCATTTCCTCATTGTTGCGAACACCGATTAATTTACAATTGACCTTAGCAATGCACTTGGACATTTTGACACTACCCAATGTTGCTGCCAAATGGAGAGGGGTAAATTCTATCACACTTGACAAAATTAGGTGTGATTGAAATATTAATTTGATTTTTTTAATCACACTTTCATTAAAAGTGTCATGTTTTAATTTCCTTAAGTGTGATCTTAAAGTATTTTTGTAGTAGTGACAATTCCTGATGTCGAACATTGCATCAAACCAAGCACAGCACAAAAACAACAAACAAGGAGTTTGAGAATTTATTACACATTATCAATTCACTTTAGTCTATTATACATGCAAGCAAGAGAAATTAACAGAAAAACTGCAATGAAATATGGAATGTAAATGCTGTTTTAAAATTAGATATGTCTAATGCTATTTCCTTTTGGCTGGTGAATATTCGTGAAATTGCAAAAACAGGATGCCAATATAGTAAACAAAGAATCAATGTGAAGGCTCCTAAATTGATCATTCAATTTCAATGTATTAATCAGACACAGTAATATATTAATTACATTATATCATTAAACATTCATTCTCAAAACTTACTTTGATGGAATAGATTGAATCATGAAACAAGGATTGCATCCCCATATGAAAATTTCACACCACTAAACCTAACAGAGGAAGGCATCCAGCAAGGCACCATTTTGATAATCACGTTATCCATTAACTCTGCGATCAAAGTCATATCTTCTTTCGGCAATTCAAGCTGTTCCACCATCTCCCAAGCTATTGAGAGAGTCGTATCACCATCAAGATTAAACACAAACTCAATATTCGTCACCTGATTAGTCGAATAGATATGCGAACATCAAGATTAATCGAATAGATATGTAAACATCGAATTAATCAAATCCGTGGAAGGGGCTTATAATCGAAATTGAACTCCAAGCTCGGAATCAAACTCCAAGCTCGGAGTGGCAGCGGCTGGCGGTGGTCGGTGGTGGTGCTCGTGTGTTTGTGTGAGAAACTGATGGAGAGAGAGAGAGAGAGAGCGAAAGAGAGAGACGTATGAATGCAAAATCTGTGTGACTTCAAACTCAAATGCAAAGAATGTATGAAGATCTATCAGGGGATTTGAACGTCTGGTTCGTTTTCTAGGGTTTTGAAAGAGGTGGATGAGGAGGAGGAGGAGAAGTGAAGAAGAGAGAAGGGTTGGGTCTTATTGGCGAGTCCGTAATCCAATTTGAAAAACGTAACACTAAACCCTCCCAGGGTCTCTCTCTCTTTCTCTCTCTCTCTCTCTCTCTCGCGCTCAAGTAAAGGAGGCGATGACGAAGAATCCCCAATAAGATTCAAGGTGGCCACGACATGAATAGGGATTGCAAAATTTTCGACCCGATACTATTTGATCTAACCTGGTTTTAAAAAAAAAAATCTCTCTCTCTCTTTCTTTTTTTTTAATATACTTTTCTATTTTTTTTTTTTTTTTTTTTTAGAAAAAATTAATTGAAAAAATAAAATTATTAACTACTCTCATATATAATAATAAAATTACTTGAATTATTATTTGAAATAAATTTTGGATATCATTAAAAACTATTAATTGACTTTATAATTTATTAATAAAATGAATCATTTGTTATAAAATTTTACACTTCAGGGGGTGGGATGTAATTTTCAAAACCTTAAGGACAATTCGTACTTAATTTAATTTTTTGGTCTAAATTTTTGTTAATTTTGTTTGTGTATATCATAGGAAATTGACAAGTATTCCAAAATAATCAATTTTAATCTTGAATTTGGACATAATGACCAAATTGAAACTAAACTCAAATTGTAGGGAGCAAATTGTTCACTTTAAAACTATAGGAATTAAATTAAAATTTAGATCAAATTATAGAGGTGAAAAGTGTAATTAACCCAAATATATATAAATGTGTATAAAAAGTTTCTCTCATGATTTTAAGTGATGCAATTTTTATTCAATTGACGGGTTGGATTACAAATTCAATAATAGAAAATATGATAATTTAAAGATTAATGTTAGAGTTAATCAAATTTTTTTATTTAATATTTAATATTTTACTCCCTACACAATTTTTTTAATTTAATATTTAATGTTTTACGTTGTTCTCAATTAGGAAACTTTAAAGTGAGAAGCTTGGTTGGAAATTGTTAGCCTTTTTTTTTAATTTTTAAAAAAAATATTAGATTGAAATTTTTTTAATAGAAGTTTTCACGACATGTTAATGTATGTCATGTAAAGGTAAAATATTTTACAACATAAAATATATGTCGTCTTAAATGGAAAGATTTGTATGCTGTGAAAAAATATATATTTTTACCGCATAGTTTTGTTTGTCATAAAAAAATCAGATTAAAATTTTTTTTAGTAAAAGTTTTCACGGCATGCATTAGCATGCCGTGTAAAGTTAAAATAGTTTACGACATGAAATGTATGTCGTCTTAAGTGCAAATATTTTATGACATATTTTTGTAAACCGTGAAAATATACATTTTTTATGGCATACTTTTACATGCCATAAATATATGAATTAACGACTTACATGGTGTGTATGCTGTCATTGAAAAAGTATTAACGGCTTACAAAAAAAAAAAAATATCGTAGAATGTACTAATTACAACATGCATTCGTAAACATAAAGCTGTAAATAGTTAGTTTTGTTATAGTGTCTTTATAGAGAAATCACAACTTCAAAGAAACTTTTAGCCTCACACTATTAAAAAAAAAGTGTTTTTTGCGATCGCCACAAGCCATCGCAAATAATGAAAATACAGTACCAAAAGAACTTTTGCAACGGTCCATGCGATCACAAATTGGGGACGTTAATGTGGGGGTGGCAAATACTTTTTGCGACCACAAAAATAACAGTCGCAAACTATTTGCGACTGCCTAACCTACTTTTTGCGATAGTTATTTTGTCGTCGCAAAAAAAATCAAAAATAATTTTAGCGACTATTTTTTTACCGTTGCAAATCATTATTTTTGTAATAAAATCATATATATGTTTGCTACAATAAAAAAATCAATTGCAAGCACTTAACAATTTTTTTAATAAAAAATAACAAAAATAACAAATTAATTTAAACTCATAGTAAAAACATGAACCTATTCACATATAAGTGTGCAAACAAAATATAAACTTTCATACATGTAAAACAAATATCCATCAACCATCCTTAAAATATATTGTACTAAAAGATTCAAGTCCTCAAAAAAAAAAAAAAAAGAAGGAAAGAAAAGAAAGAGCAACATAATCTCATTTTGGCTCCCAAACATCACCTGCTCGATTATATCAACTACTCCCTCAACAAAACCTGCAAAAACATATACACATGACTTGAAAATTTAATGCAATTTAACGTGAAATAATAAAAATAAAACTATTTCAAAAGAAATTGTCAAGAGAAAAAAAAAAGAGTTCATTCTCTAAATTCTTTTCCTTTGAGTAAATTACAAAAATATAGATGCCAATTCATAATTTGCACAAATAAATAGACAAGAAAATGGTCACCTAATCCAATCAGATTAATGAATAAACCAAAGAATTTGAAAAATGAACATGATTAACATAATCTTTGTCCTAGCATATAGATAAATACCAAAAGGAAACAAGAAGAAGAAATTTGACTTCACTATTTAGAAGTTCACATCAAGTTACTGACTTTACTATGTAATTCAAGAATTAGCAATGAAGAATTTTGGAAAAATTTTATCAAACCAAGGCCATCTTCAGTGTACAATGGGCAATTATTGAATAGTTGGGGAAGGCTTTGGCACTATTGGTGTATGTTTCTTTTCTTCATCCTTTTATCTTTTCTTTTCCTTAATTCATTTTAGCTCTAGTATATATTAAGTTGTCCCAGACATTATTAGCTATAATGTGAATCACGAAATGCAAACATGTATTAATGTGCTCTTTTGTGTTGAATCAATTAAATTTATGAAGCCAAATGCATATGTATAACCTAACATGTATCATGTTAGATTATGTAAATTTGACAATTTTCTTGTCAGTGTAGATGGATGCATCAATAAACAGCTAATAGCCACTTCTTGGGTTTCAAGATAATAGGTGATAATATGCTCTTTTGTTATTTCACATTGTTTTTTCCTAAGATTCTAACAATACATTGCTTTTGGAATTTTATTTTAATTTGAAACAATTAAAATGGTGATATTATACTGTAACCGGGTAAAATGAGGTAAATTCATATAAAATAAAGTCATGATCATCAACTTGGTGGTGTAACAAATAGATATAAAATTCTAGGGAGTAATCAATTGAGTATTTCTAGTAGTTAACTTTGAGTATTTTAGTCGCAAATATCTAAATGCTTACCTGTATCTGTTCCTTGTTTCCAGCAGTAATGTTTGAGATTGTCCAACAGGCTTCTTTCTTGATACTCCATTTATGATTATGGGTTAACAGATTCAGCAAGCACGGAAGTGCACCATGCTCAATTATAGACTGGAGAAAGGAGGTTTCCATTAATAGATGCAAAATCATGGTACATTGAAAGCAAAGACAAATTCCATATGAAGCACAGGAAAAAGAAATATTAGCATGCTTACAAAATGTTCATAGCAGATGTGAAATGTTATTCTATTTTCTGTAAACCATACTCAAGGTATCACCATAAAATTAAGGTTCGAACACCGGCTTGGTAGCCAATGGAGACCGCTAGCCGGTTTTATTAGGGCTTGGGATGGACATTTGTAACAGGGCACAACTAAATACAATTATTTATTGAGCATGGTGTAGCTCGACTTTTCGTACCCCCTTTTGGAAGACAAATAAGCCCTACAGTATCGGACTCTTGCAGTTCTGAATCTGATCTCACAAGTGCAATGTGAAATAGATAATCACCAAAGAGTCCCAATCTGGCAAATCTTTTGGGAAATCGATTTTGAATCAAATTGCAAAAAATAGACTACTTTGCCAGATACAAAGGTGCCACCCAAATATTTTTAGGAAAACTAGGAAACCCATGACTCGTGCCAAAGGCCACGTGTCCGTCATCACCAAGATTGTCTCGGCTTGAGAACTTAGGTACGAGAGCGGAAGGTCATGAATTGAGCGCCCGATCAAGGATCGACCTCTACTAATCATGATATGAATCTTATCTACATTATATGCTCTTGTTCCGATTTATTGGGCTAGCATTACTATGTGATGTGCACACACACAAGTCTAGACTAATTTGCAAGAATTGGAACATTTGATTCATGTTTGTTTTGAAAATTATTTTGAGTATGTACCACTTGAAAAAGTGATTACATATGAACATTACCCAAATTATTCCAATTCAAGTAATTAACCTTCATTCGCAGGCATTCTAAACAGAGCATGCTAAACATGGCAACAATCACATTCATGCGATATGCTAAAACGAGTAAAGGCTCACCTAGTACTCTAAGCCAAAAAGATAAAAGAGTTAGAATAATGCATGATCCTAACTGTGCAATATGACTAATGCAACATATGCGATATACAATTACTAGGCTCGGCTGTAAATATGGCATATGAGTAAATTTGATAGCATGCGGTCTAAGCACGTATTCAAATAAACACTAAACTAACAATGCAAGTTAGAATGATGAACTGAGCCTCGGTGCATACAAGACAAGTGGATGCAAACCTGAGAATGCTAAACAAAACATGATGCCCCTAAACTAACCATCATAAGCTAGTAAAATAAAAGGGAGAAAGACGTGAGGTTGGAAGACATACACATTATTACAACATTGGGCCCTTACACAGGAGGGTCTGAATAAACTAACTAGCTAACTAATTAAAGCTAAACTAATTAAGTAATTATTACAAACTCAAATGAATAATTTAGCTAAATTACTTAACTAATTATTACAAACCAAATTAATTAACTATTCTAGCTAATTAATTAAATAATTACAATTACAAATTAAAACGAACTAATGAATGCAACATGAAAAAAGCACTAAGCTAGCTATTCTAATTATTCCGCCTCAGGAAACGAGGAATGCTCATGCATGCACGGTTTCCACCCGAAAAAGCCATTGTTTCTACTGCGGAATGCCTCTGTTGTACAGTAGAACATTTGCACTGATTTCCACCTCCAGATCAACTTTGTTCTGTTTCAAAAGGACACTGCTTGACTTTGCACTGGTGGCCGATAGAAAGCCTGCCATCCACTGAAAGTGGTCTGCCGGCCACTGATGACTAGGCTTCCCTGCTGTAACAGGGAGCAAATAGAGTAGAGATAGTGTATTCTCAAGAGTTTGTTTGCATAATTTACCCCTTCTTATCATTTAAACAGCACAAAAAGAGTGGCAAAATTTGATTCACAAACCATCAACAGATGTAATTTCATTGCATGATGGCTTATGAACCAAAGGGTGTAAGTTCAACGAATGCAACAAAATAAGACTCTCAAAACCACCTCCCTATCATGAAAGATCAAGGAAAGTAGTTGACAATGAATCTTGAACCGTTTTCATCACTAATGAGTATGAAATGACTCAAGACTCAAGGGTTCAATTAACGTCCGATTGAACTTAAAACCAATTATTATCTTGCACCTTTTTTATTCACCAATTTTATTACTTCATTTTAGATTACCATCCATTCTTTAGTCAATTGAGTCCAAAGGTGAATTTAAGTCCTCTAATGGAAAGAAGGCTCAAACCAAGAGTTGCTTTGGACATGAAAGAGACATCAGACTATTGGTAATGAACCCCCAAAGGGATTAAACCATTAAGCATGACATCTCAATCTCATGCTTAAACAAACATGTAGTTTGAAACCACTTTCAAAGCAAAACAAAAGCCAAGAATGGAGGGAGATTGCAGAGACGATTAAAAGTGATCACAAGTATGGAAAGCCATAAATAAACACTATCAACTCAAATAAAACGGTGTCTAAAGCCTAAAACGCCAAACGCATGAGGACAATTACACTATAAGCATGCAAAACAAAAGCTCGAATGCAACAAACACTTAAAAACAGTCATAAAATAGTCTAAAAACAGTTCTAAAACATGCTGAAATTAAGACAAAAATGGCTAGAACAATAAGTTAAAACATGGATCATGCTAGGCTAGTAAGCAAAACACAAGGAGGAGAGGCTAACCCCTTCAATTTTGGACTTCAAAACATGATTTTAGCTAATGAAATAACTCTGAAAATCAGTGTTTAAAAGCTCAAAAAAAAAAATAGGGTAAATGTGGAAAACACAAGGGTAAAGGCCTTGAGAGCAAGGTGTAAAGAAGGGTGAGCCACCCCTGAACCTTTATTAGCCTTAAAACCCAAGTTTTAGCCCAAAAATACAGGTTTTAAATAGCTCAAAAATTAATAGAAAAGATGGAAAACAAGTGGTGTAAAGATGGTACAAAGGCAAGATAAGGTATACCTCTTGAAGTTGATTCACAAACAACCAATTTCACACTCCAAGTGCTTCAAGAGTTCAAATTCAAGCTCAAATCATCTCAGCAAGAAGCTCTCTAGGTTTGGTTTAGAGTGTTTGGACAAAGGCCATGCAAGTTGCAATAGAGAGAGAGAATTGTAGAGAGAGAGGATATTTTTGCTCCCAAAATTTTTCTAACCTTAAAACCAAGAGAAAAGGCCCTTTGTATATAGAAATATATGAGCTTTAGTAAAAAAATATCTATATAAGAACAGGTGGAGCAATGTGGAAACAGTTGGCACAAAGATCTACAAAAAATCTGATTTTTGACACTTATGGCTGGCAGGCCAATAATGGTGGATGACAAGACACAAAAAGCGGAAAAATTTTCACTACTGGCTGGCAAGCCACTAAAGTGGCCGGCCACAAAAATATGTTTTTAGGCCCGATTTTAAATGGGCATAACTCCTTCATCCGGACTCCGTTTCAGGTCATTCTTGAGTCTAATTGAAGCCCCAGAAGTCTAGTTTCCAATTGTGGCAGCCTCACATCTAAATTCTAAGTGTACAAAGAGATATGCCTATTTTAGTGAAAGTTGCTCAGTTTTGTCCTAATGGATTGATGCCTAACTCTTCCCCCAACTAGTTTTCTTCCCTCCCCTCTTATTTTCTCCAACTCCAAACCTTTAACTAAGATGTTTTAAATATTTTTTCAAAGAGTTCACCCCCCTTTCATTTATTTCCACCTTGGCCTTATTCGATTTACGAAAAGTGCAATTTTTAACGAAAGCAAGCCTCGGAATATCGTAGAAATTTTTCAAAAATATTTTGAAAGAGAGGATTTTAAGGTCTAAAAAAATTTCAATCCAAAATAGTTTTGGTCCAAAATGGGGTGTAAGGTTGGGATTTAGAAGCTCTTCTTGTTGAAGAAATCATACGTTCGTACAACATAACTTTCATCATCGAATGGTCAATCAGTGGCGCCCAAGTCTTAAGGGCGGTCAGAAATGGAGTGTCTACATATGAGTAACCTGATGGAAAGAGTTTTTTATCGCCAACTGATGGCCTACCCAATCCAGGTGGAGATATGAATTACGCAACCCTGCCAAAGGCTACAACAATAAATACCATACATATCATCACCACTGCGTAAGAAAATATAATTATAGCAAGTCTTCCTTAAAAACCATAGAGCAACTCCTAGTCTCACCCTAGAAGCAATACCATCTATAAGTAACTTTGCACTCTGTAACAAGCCCGCGGGGGACCTCGCTACAGCTCGGACTCGACTTTCGCAGTCACGGTTCTAAATCTGAACCAAAGAGTCCAAATCCGGCAAATCGTTTTAGGAAAACTGATTTAACTAGTGTCGACCAAGTAACCATTCAAAATCAATCGTTCATCAGAATTGGTTTGAAGGGTCAATTACGGTCGGTCTAGTGGGTTGGGCATTATATCCATCATGCTTCGAGTTCTCTAATCTCCAGCACTTTCAACATTCAAAAATTAAATACAATCCCTGCTAATGTAATTAAATTTAACCACAAAAAAGGAAAATTAATCAAATCATAGATACATGTTTGGGAGATAATTCATCAAATTCATCAAATCCTTGAGGACATGACGATTCTGCAATCTGTCATAGTTAATTGGTTTCTGTGGTAAGTGTTATTAAGAGGATCGTCAAAGAAGGATAGGGGATGAGGGAGAGTTGGTGAATGATAGAAGAAGTTCGAAGGTCAGGGTTTGGACTTGCAAAACATGTGTCATTTTCTTAGTTAGTTCAGAAGGTGCTGAGGGGTGGCACAAGTGGTTCAAAAGGTGCTGAGGAAGGAGTCCAATGAAAGTTGGTGGGAGTTATTAGTTGCACTCTTAAACAAACATGTTCAACTTTTTCCACAACTTAAGCAAAAGCTACACCAAACAATGTTACAACTTATTCAAAGCTTTTTAAGCCCACTACCTAAAAAGTCAATCTAAAAAGCTAATTCTAAGTGTTGACAAACAAACAAATAAGAAAACAGAGTTTTAAAATAGAACCAGTTACTACAAAAGATAGGTATTCTTAAGACTACACAGGTGATCCTTATAAGAGTACCCACCTGAGATGAAGCAAGAGACATAATATACCAAAAAGAGTACTGCCTTCAACAACTGTCCTCAGCAGTGGCTTTCTCTAAGGCTTGCGATGTGGGACCCTTGCACGTACATATTTCCTCCCACCTGAATGTTTTGTCACATTTTCCACAAATTCGCGCTTACTTTCATCCTATTAGATCAGACATGACAAATTGAAATGAATCAATACCGACAAAAATAAATCAAAGTGATGCATGTTTGAAGTTAAAGAGTCCAGTGAGAGACAAACCAAAACATTAAAATAATAAAGTTCCCCTAGATTCTCACCTCATTTGTATATTCTGAATTAAGAAGATCCTCATTTCGATCTATACATGCTTGATGACCCTCATTTAGTTTTGTTTCACAAACTAAATCGTCCACAAAATTTTCCTACTCAGTGCTTCCCTGAAATTCATACCCTCTTGTCGAACTACTATCTATGCTGTCAGCCTCACAATTTTACAAGTCAATCAATTCTGTTTTGGCAGTTGTCAAATCATCTACATGGGATTGATCATCAAAATCCAAGTTCAATGCCTAATCTAATATAGAGCTGAAGCTGTTCGAGGAGGAGGATACTTCCACATCTTCAAAATTATCAGAAGATCTCCTTCCAGATCCATTCTGAAAAGTCCTTCCAGTTGAGTTAGATCCATGAGAATCAGTACCCATTAATATATTAAACATGTTGTCTTGTAAGTAAGTGCTCAAAGAGAAAATTTCTATGATGATGTTGATAATAGTTTTAATTAACTGTGAATCTCAACACAGTCAAAGCAGGGCACTATCAGAATTCACATATCAACCAAAAGAAAAACAAAATGCATGCAAATAGCTCTTTCACACAACTTGATGAGTTTTCCCTCTCCCTTTTTATATCTCTCCAACTCATGCAATCTTCTATACCATGTTACATGGACTTCAATTTGATGCGACATGACAAGGGTAATGGAAAACTAGATATGAATCCAAATCTTCTATTTTAAAAGAGATACTACTTCTTAGTTTTTCTTTTTTTATTTTAAATATTAAAAAAAGATGTTTTTAAAATTTTAAAAATTAGTTGCACCCCCAAAAAATAAAAATAAAAAACCATATCAAAGAAAATTCAAACAAATAGTCATACTCACTCTCTTTCTCCGCTCTTCTCTCACCAATTTATAGATTTGTCCCAATCCCCCCTGGCTCTTTCTACATTTTGTTAAGGTGCTCTAGGTTAAGTAATAAGTAGGAAACTTTCTAGTTAAAAACTAAACTAACTGATTACTTTCTAGTTAATTCATCGCTAACTCATTGGAGAGCAATTTTAAAAACAAATTATTGCTAACTGACTTCATTAGGATACTAATTTCGCCAACTGGTCAATTTTGCATCAATCAAGTAATAAATTGGAGCATACACAACCATTTCATACATACTTTTTGCTATCATGAAACAAATTCAATTTCATATCGAAAATAGAACAGGTAAGGAAATCAAAATTTATGAGAAGAAGGTTATAAATACATATATATATATATATATATATATATATATCTTCAAATAAATGAGTACACAATTAGATATCACTTTTTAGGACAACTGTACATTATTAAATATCAACAAACACCACCAATGCAATTCTATTGCAACACAAAACACTTACAAACTAAACATGACAAAAAATAATAATAATAATAATAATTCGAAAACTATAGCATTTTTGTAGTGAAGATCATGGTGTTAAAAACAAAACTATAGCATTTTTTTTTTCTTTTGGAAGAAGTCATGGGGTTGTATTCCTTCTGAGGCTCCAGCATCTACCAATGGTAAGAAGTGCTTAAGCTCAATAAAAATGTCCGCCAATAAGATGAAATATAATGGCTCTGTTCCTCCTTTGTTCTTTGGATGACTTGTCACCTTTAAATAAATAATTCAATGATTATAAATTCTTTGCTGTCAGGTGCACTATAATTATTTGAAGAGCTTTGTAGTGTTGATATCTAAATAAGAACCCATGGTTTAATATGCATAATTTATTATCTATAAAAATCAATGCTTATAGTTGTTAGATCAATAATGTTAACAGATGAACAATACATTTAAATATGCATAGTTTACCATCGTTGATATTTGACCATTCTCAGACCTGAATTACAGATGCTGCTACAGATATGGAGTCTGATTCTGGAAATAAGCTCCCTGTGCTACAAACTGCTGCAGCGCTTGCAATTTCCTCTTCTATCTGCAAAATTGACTCTTGGCTCACCAAATTATCTAGAATTAAAGGAGGTGAAATCAAGCAAGTATGTGAGAGCAATGCTATATATATAGAGAGAGAAAGAGAGATGTGAGAATTAGCTCACCAAATTATCTGGAATTAAGAATTGAATAGTTCAACTTGTACCTGTAGTAGATGAGAAAGGATTGATTCAAACCAAAGCTTGTTTCCAGAATCAGACTGCCTGGTGGAAAAATAAATAGATTGATGAAAAAGTGATCGAATTACAGTGAGTTCAGATGATAAGAAACAAGTGATTGAAGTAGAGAGATAAAAAGGTTGAAATACGAATGAATGATTCGAAGAGACTCACTGAGACAAGAGAGAGAGAGAGAGAGAGAGATCATACCGTTGGAGATCTCTTCTTCAGACGACCATGGTGATTTATAGAGTGAAATCGAGAGAGGGAGATCAGATTCTCTTACTTAGATACGATCGAGTGAAATCGGATTTGGAGAATATGATAGGCTAGGGCAAGTTTTACACAATCAGATTTGGGGGAAATAAGAGTTTAAGAAAAAAAGGAAAATATAAATAAAAGGAAATGGGAAAAATGAATTGGGCAGTAATTTTTGCTTCAGTTGATTTGCCATTGCAAATAAATTTTTTTTGCGACGGTCAAATAATCAGTCGCAAAAAAATAGACGCAAAAAGTTATTTTTCTAGTAGTGTCACTAGCCACCATATAGGTTTAAAAAGATTTAGATAGAAGAACTATAGCGATCCCGGTTTTCCCTTCATTATTTAATTGTATTCCGGGCTTGGTTCCGTGGATGTGTTGTTGTCTTATTCCTATTTCCATCCTTTACTCTTTGTATATGAGTCTTGGGTCGTGTTGGGCAGGTTTGAAACATGTTGGTTGTGTTTGGAAACCAAGGATTGATGTCCAGATTTTGGGCTTCACGCTCAAGTGAGGCTTTTGACGCTCGAGCGGACCTGTTTGTATATCAGTCCAAAAAACAGCTTTTGGATCACTTTTTCGGGCCAATCTCTCTCTCTAACTTTTCAAAGCTTATGCATGATTATACTAGATTCATCTCATTAAGTAAGATACATATACATCAATTAGAAGGTGACTAATTATTGATGAATGCATCTATATATACAATGTATAGAAGACTAATGCTAATACATTGAATGTGATGGATTCATTATGAATGAATTTTAGAGATGCATTATGTATCTATTATGAATATGTAAGATATATTAATCTATCTAATGAATTCATTAATATAGAAGATGCATTATGTATCATGAATGTATGAGATACATTAATCTATTTAATGAAATTCATTGAATGAATAACTTGAGAGCTTCTCACTCTAGACTACAACTTCTCTATAAAATCCATCTAGCTCTAGTGTGTTTCTAGCCTAGTTCCTTTGTAAGAAAGGTGGAGTTTGCGTGGCCTTCGTTTTGATCCGAGAAAGGTTGGGTTTGGAGCACTTTCGAGTTTCTCTCTTCTTTTCCTTGGGTTCTCTATTTGAGGTAGGGATTTCCTTGCTCTTTTTCAATGCCTCATTTATAGATAGACATGTGGTAGTTTTGTATTGCATGAAAATCATATCCATGTTGGATTTGTTTGAAAATCATGAAGGGGAAACCTAGAGTTGGTTGTTTGAGAATGAATTTGTTATCATTGATTGTTATTTGGGCTATTTGGGAGGTAATCTAGCATGATATTGTTGAAAGAAGAGAAAGCCCTAAATTATTTTTTCATTTGGTAAATTAAAGAGGGAGGATGATTGAACAATATTTGTAAATTACTATTGTTAATATGAGTTGTGTAAAAGTATTGATGACTAAGGGATTAACTATGGCATCGGGGTTATTTTGAAATGAACGTATTGAACTAAGATGGGTTATGGCTTTATTATCCATGAAATTGGTTTTATGAAATGAAAAGAATGGATTTGGTTTTGTGAAATGAGAAAAGTGTTTTGGGAATAAGTGGTGGAACATGTCTACTTGGGAAATTATGAGGGTTGATCTTGAAAATGGGAAGTGAAATGTTAACTCTATGTGAGTCTCGGAAAATGAATATGAGTATTGAACTATTGTATCATGAGTGTTGAATACACACATTTGGGGGTTTTATCTTTAACTATCGCACCAGTGTCGTTGTTGAGCTTAAGATTGCTTGAGAGTTGAGTCTTTTTTAATAGGTGTACTGAATACATGCATCTAGAGGTTTTGTCCTTGGTCATCGGTGGAGGATGACATTGTTATGTTGAATCATTGTGTATGTATTACACTTATTGGTTGTGTTTTGTTATATTGAGATGGTTGGTGTTATATACTGCACTTAGAATGAGGGGTACCAGTGCCTTCCAGCTAGCGGCTGGAGAACTTGGACTAGGTATCATTACCTTCCAGCCTGTGTCTGGAGAATATGGACTAGGTACCATTATCTTTCAGCTTGTGTCTGGAGAATTTGGCTAGTCATTTGTTGTATGGTGTATCCTTAACTTACCGTGCTTATGGCAGGTAGAGTAGAGCTTTTATCATCACTGTCTCAGTGTATCTGAGTATATTAGGGGTTACGATGGTTACAATTTTGAAAAGGCCGAGTTGCCTCAATTGTTGATTATATACATGTTGATGATTTATTATTCCCCTTTTTACTAAAGGTATGCATGGATGGATATGAATATGTTGGAAACAAACCTAAATGCTATTTTGAGATTTTGGAAAGTGTGAAGGAAATTGGGTTTTTGTGAACATGTTTAGAAAGGGCAAACCTGTTGTAAATACGGAAAATGGGAGGAAAGTAATGGGCTTGGCGAAATTGTTTTCTAGAACTATTATTGTCATGAAAGTTTGTGGAAAAGGGGATAATGAAAAGGAAAGAAAGATGAACCGCTTATAGCGTTGAATAAAATGGCAGTTTTCTAGAAAAGTTCATACTTATGTATATTTTGTATAAACTGCCACATTACTATTCTAGTATGAGATTGAGCATTCATGATCATAGCTATCTGTAAGTTGTTATTGTTGAGGACCATGTTGAGATCCCTACTGGACTATATGTTCATCCCATGTTGTTGAATCTTTTTCAGGTGATAATTAGGATGCGCTACAAGATTTTGAATCTTCACATTTGTTGGCCACGTGGCCTCTTTTGTGTTGGCGGAATGCCATTTATGAAAAAGGGTTATACCCTTCTTCTTGACTCTTTAATGATGTAAGCCCAAGGGCAATTTATTTCGTATGCTCATGTAGTATTCAATTTGCGTACGAATGAGAGAATGGGTATTCATTTCTACTAGTCGAACATTTGAGTTTATTTCCGCATGTGATCTCTGAACTTGAATTAAAGTAATGAATTTGGTAATGATTTCGAGTAATAAAAAGTGAGGCGTGACAAGAACTTTAAAGTCCTAGCATGTAAATATCTTCTAGGCTTATCTATTTTCTCATGAAAATTACTTCCTCAATGTCATGATAATATTCTTGTGTAAATCTGAATATCAGATTTGTCCACAAAAATCCCGATATGCACTACTATATTGTGCATATCCGTTAAATACAAAGCCAACGGATTTTCAGACCTATCCTACCCGCTTGGGTTTAGGTATTGCCACATTCTGCATGACACCCCCATATTTGCCACCTTTTGCATGACACCCCCACATTTGTAGAATTTATATGAAGGCTCTCAGTCTCTCCAAAAATTCATATAGGGTCTTTAAATAATTCCTTGTGTTACAACGATTATGAAACTCTCAAAATCATATCACAGAAAATATATTCCCATATCGTCATTAACCGAATCAGGTCTTTCTCGAATTCAAGGCACCAAAACAAGTTGGGTCCAATATGTCACTCTGAAGTCAATAGCCTTACTAATTGGAATCACAAACCTAGTGATCAATATTCTACTATTCGGAACTTCATAACATGGTCAGTAGTCTTATCACTAGAAATCGCTAATTTCTCATTATGTAGTTAGTAGACTCTCCACTACTAGGAACCACAATATTTTAAATGTGATTAGTAGTCACTTTCATTACTAGGAATCATCATGTCTTGACATAATATCAGTAGCCTCTCCACTACTAGGAACCATTATGTCTTGATATGTGATCAATAATCTGTTCACTACTAGGAACCACAATCTCATAATTATGTAGCCAGTGGTCTAACACCTCCTAGGAATCACCAACTTTCTATCTCTATAATCAGTGATCTTATACTCACTAGGAGTCACCAATTTTAAAAATATATTTGGAATTTAAAAATTCAAAAATATATTCACCCACCCTAACGGGTTGTCTCATCTTTGCTTTCAAGCAAAGTCAAATAGCAATCATACATGTTATAATTGATACAAGGATAACATACTAATTGTCTTTGATTAATTCAAAGATATTATCATGCAATCTAATTATTTCTTTTAATCACACTTGATCTCTCTAGATCTTCTTTTAAGTGATAACAACACTTTCTGTTGTCACCTCTTGAAGCCATTTCTGAAAAATCACAACAGAATTTCATTATTCTATTTTTTTGTAAACTAAACTTAACACTAGAAAATCCCAAGTTTGAAATTTAATTCAAAACTGATCTCACTACTTACCTTAGAACCGAACATGGTCAAGAAAGTATCCAGAAAGACTGGAAGGGTCACACCGGTCCCACTTAAGACCCAGTTAACCTTAGACAAAATTTTCAAAAGCATGTTGACTCCTTGTCCATGGGAAACAAATTTAGAATTAAGTTTTTCTGGGGATAAACTAGGTTAAAACAAATAAAGTTTACAAAACTTACAAACAATTAAAAATTGCTATCAGAATTACACAACTCATAATAGTTAACCGGTACTTCCGGAACTGAGCCCATTATTTCTGAATAAAAATCAAAAATATTTTAGGTAACGCTAAAATTTGGTTTCTTTCCCCAAAACAAAACACTTTAGAAATACTCAAATTATAACCAAAGACTTTCTCAAAACTTGGTTTCTTACCATTTTGGGAATAAAAAAAGATGAAACCCAAAGAGTTCCTCTAACCACAAAGGTTTGAAACCAAATCCATCTTAGTTGCTATTTCTGAACACATCAGAAATACTCTTTAGCCAAGGCTAAACTTTGGTTTCTATTACAAAAAACCAAGACACTTTGGGAATAATAAAATCAATCCCAAAGACTTTCTCTAAACCCGAAAGTTTATAATTTCTTTCTTTCCCCCTTTCCTTTCACTATGATGAAACTATTACCAATTACAAATTAAACCTACTACAAATTAAAATGCAACTGTTACAATTATAGATTATCTAAGTCTGCAAAACAGAGTTTGTTGTTGCATCTGGAATCTTCTATTTAGACAAGAACACACTTCTCCACTTGTAATGCTTATTTTTGTATGAACACATTACAAAACTCTATTCTCATTGCCGTTAAATCTCCATGGTCATTGTTCATATACACACTTGGATACAAGATGAGTTAATGAACCAATAAAGTGAATATTACACAAGTAATTTCAGCTATAA